CCCCAAAACCCCAAAACCCCAAAACCCCAAAACCCCTTAAAAATAGATTTAAACTTGAAAGGTAAATTAAGAAATATTTAAATAATTCGTAATAAAGTTAATCAGGATATAAGGAGTCTTTCTTTACTTAAAGTGATAATAATTTTTATGCTTCCCTAAATTGGGAAAGGGATAATCAATTTCAAGTTGAAAATATATTTAATTTGCTAGGGCTCTGAGAGGTTGAATCTTTTTATGTATTACTTCTAACTCTTGCAAACTATGTGTTCTTACCTCCATTACATTCTCCTATTAATTGTTCAACTCTAAACAGCAAGTCTCTTTCTCCTTGAGCTCCACTCATTGAAGAAGTACTCATCCTACGCTGCTCTGGGCTGATCTTATTGACTGAGCTATTTGCTGAGTTGAGACTTATGTTTGCTTTTAAAATTTATCTGGCCTCTTTTAAGCTAATTAGGGCTTTATCTTGATTTCCAATGCTATAATAGATAGTTCCCACTCTATATAAGGGAGTAGCTAAACTTTGATGCTAAGATCCAAAGTGGTGAGTTAACACTTAAATTTCTTGCTATGTATATTCTAGAGATCTCTCATATTTTTTTATACTCAAGTATAATGATGCTAGACTTTGATATAAGTAAGAGAGTGACTGCTCATTGGACTAATTATTAAGGATCTTTTTCTTTATTTTTAAACAATCCTTAAGATTATTAATAGCTTTAAGATGTTCTTATTTGAGTTTATAAATCATGCCTAGATCATTGTAAACTTCTGCTAAAAAAGTTTAGTTAACAGAATGCTTATTTTGAGGTTGATTCATGATTATCAAAGTTTTCTCTAGATAGAAAGTAGACTTTTCATAGTTCTTTGATGATTTATGAGCTAAAGCTATTTAATAATAAAGTTAGTGCATAGGATAAGTCTCGTTATTCTAGTTAAGTTTGAGGTGAATATTGAGAGCCTTCATCAAATATTCTAATGCCTATTGATTGAGATTCTAGTTTTAAAGAAGTGATCCTAAGTAGTTGAAGGATATTGCAGTCTGTTCATTATTTTCACCAAAGATATAAAGCTTGATGTTTAAACTTCTCTCATAATAATTTTATGCTTTTTGAAAAAACTTCTTGTCTGAAAGAACAAAGCCTATTCTATCATATAAGTTGGCTCTTTGAATAGTTTGTTCTGGATAATATTCCCTGATCATATCAAGATAGGAAGTGAAGTAATTCAAAGCTTCATCTTCATTTTACTTTGATTATTCAATTTATCCTCTAAAAAGATGCTATTGAATAGACTAAACAGAATTATCTCCATAGAGTCCAACACAATTTTATTAATATTTATTTATTGAGCTTTTTGCTTCCTCGTAACTTCCCTTTTAAATTTAAGTAGTAATAATTCTTTCTTAATAATCTTATACTCGATAGTTTTTATAGTCACCATTTGATATTCCTAAGCATAACTGGTAACTCTCTTAATCCACTGTAAGCTTTCTCTGTTTATCCTTTTTGAGTTCGTAAATTTTGGCTCTGATATCGTTATATTTGAGCAAAAGATTTGCATTGCTTTAAAGATTTTTTTCTCCAGGATTAGTAGATGAATTTTTAATCTGCTATTCAACACTTTATAGCTTTATAATGGCATCATTGAGATCATTTACTTCAATCAAAAGCTCGACCATGTCCATCATTAACATAGTCTTAAGCTCTATCTTCTCCTAGAAATGCATGTTTATAATGAAAAGAGCCTGCTTGATATCTTTGATTGCTGTTTTTTAATGATACTTCATTAGTCTATAGATTTTAGCTCTTTTCAGATGATACTCAATCAGTTTTTCTTGAACAGTAATTTAGTTATCTTCTGTGTTTAAAGCTGTAAATATTCCATATTTATTTTAAGTTTGCTTGTCTAATGTGACAGTGCATAGCTGTAGGGCAAAGGAATAATTTCCTTCTAAAACACTTTGATCTATTAAATAATTTAGGACTTCTGGATTTGAAAATACAAATTTCTTTAATCTCTTAATCATAATTTTGAGTATTTATTTGTTTTTGAAGTAAATTGTTGAATCAACAAGAATCTCTTTTTCAATCAGAGAAATAATCATTTATTCAGCCTTATTTAGAATTTCACAAGATATTAGTTCCTGAATATTAGATAGTTTAAAACATTATATTATTGAGGCGATATCATTGAACTTTATAGTCTATTCGCTGTAGTTTTAAGTTTGCAAAAACAAACTGTGCACATACTTTTTATTGAACTTAAATATTTCTTTTTTAAAATTCTTATTAAACACATCTCTGACTTCATTGGTTGCTGAGTATTTTTCATCGTATCTTTTGAGTTTAAAATGATCATTATTCTTCATAAAAATATTGAATTCACCATTTATATCAGCAAATTCATTCTCTACTTCCTCTGTTCTTGAAGTATCAATCCTACTTGAATCGTTAGCATTACTTCCCATTGCTAATTACTAAGCAAGAATTGGTTTACCACCTTTAGTAAGTACACTTGAATATAGAAAGTTTTTGAATTTGACATTTTATGTGCTCCTATCTATCAATATCTCATCGGGTCTAATACCACTCAAGACAATTCCATTTTTATGCAAGTATTAGATTGTCTATAGAGCTTTGAATAAGTAGAGTAAATATTTTGTGACTGAAAAGTGCTCTTTTTTATTATTGAACCATAAGCCTTGAGAGATTATTGAATTATCTCTGGGGTCTTTAATTGAGTGATATAGATCATGAAGTGACAGATCTGGTTCCTCAATAACCACTAAATAGTCTGAAACACTCTAATCTAAAGCATTAATCATTATAACTTCTTCTTTCACCTCGTTAATATAGCTTTACTCATACAAAAGCTTCTATAATTAGGCTTCGAAAAATAGATCTTCAAGTATTCCGAGTTCATTTATATTCACATACTTTGGATCTTTAGGAATCTTCAACTTTATATTTTCATAGCCGGTTTAATTTATTTTGAATGTATAGGATGTCTCTGTTTCGTATTAGAGCTATATTTTATCTATTTTCTGATACGACACAGTATTTTTTAGCAGACCCACAACCTTTTCTAATAATTTAGTCTCCTTTATGTAGCTATTTTCAAATTATACTTGTTCTTCTTCTTTGTGAATCTCCATTGGTTATATTACAATGTTTTAATTGACCCCTACAATGTCAAATAGATAATCTCCATGAGTAGGATGGAATAAATCGTAAATTTTGCTATTAATCAGCACTCTTTTAGCATTATTCGGCTGAATAGTTGGCAATCTATGAGATTAATCAAAGTTAATCTAAGGTGCTTCATGATTAGGTGTAGATCGTGGTGCAACATATTCACTAAAAATTAAGAGTAACTTGCCGTTGATGTATAGGTTAGAGCTTGAAAGGGTCTCATATTCGAATATGTCTTCGTGCCCTTCTTGGTAGCAAGGTGTTAAAGCACTAATATTTATTGAGCATAGTAATTATCTTTTTCTTCTTACTTCTTCGTCATTCGAGTTATTCAAATCCTCATCCATGATCTCACTTACCATACCATCTTTATTCGGTGTAAACATGTGTCGCTGTCTGTTATTGTTCACATAACTCTTTGCATTACTTTAAGTTGAGCCTGTTTCCAAATTAGCAGAGTTCAAATTCTTTTATGATCCTTGACCAGATAAGAACTTTTAGTTGAATCTAAGTTTAAACTCATTTATTTTGCTCTTCAGAGTATTGTAATTACTCATCTCATTTGTATTGTCATTATTCCCTCTAGGACTCTAATATACTTTCTTTTCGAGATTAAAGTTTGGATTGTCAGAAAAGCCAGACTAATTTTCGTTTTGCTGATTGTCTCTCTTGTTACAGCAGCAAGAATTATTGTTTCCCATAATATGTCAATCTATCTTTTAGTTTCGATATAAAATATATTTTCATAATAGCCTTATATAAATTCAATGTAGACTTTGATCTTTGCTATGAGGGGTTTTGGGGTTTTGGGGTTTTGGGG